AAAAAAAACATAAAAAGACTTTATGCTTACATTATGTTAGCTTTTGTGGCACTTAAAAAAAGAATTCAGTTAGGTTTTTAAACTAATAACTGTTTACAATCCCATTATAGGATAATAGAACAAACCCTACGTCTCCACAGCTGAAGGGCGTTATGTCCTGGGGAACTGTCACTGCTGAGTTCAGCTCTAAGTATGGCCACTTGCTTGCTGCTTCCGATGACCATCCATGTACCCCCTCTAACTCCCCAAAAAAGAACCCTGTGAGGTAAAACAATGTCTTAGGGAACAGAGAAGCAAAGGAATAGAGGACAACTTAATGACTGGCTTACGTGTGTGGTTCTCCCAGAGGATACTCCATATGTGTCTCCCAAAGACACTTCCCATTTGATGGATCCAGAGCCATGTGAACTGTGCATGGTCCCCGGGAGCACCGGCCATTCCTCCTCCGTCCCCTTTAGTGCGTCCTGAAGTAGGCACGCCTCTACCCTGCTGCTCTTCACATGGCCTGTACCTCCTGTGCCAATCTTCTTCTGCACTATCACCTCCTTATGGCAGGAAATGGGTGTTCCTGACCGCCGTCTAGGCCAGCGGTTCTCAACCTGTGGGTCGCGACCCCTTTGGCGGTCGACTGACCCTTTCACAGGGGTCGCCTAAGACCATCCTGCATATCAGATATTTACATGACGATTCATAACAGTAGCAACATGACAGTGATGAAGTAGCAACGAAAATAATTTTATGGTGGGGTCATAACATGAGGAACTGTATTTAAAGGGCCAGAAGGTTGAGAACCACTGGTATAGGCACTCGGCAAATGCCTTTGCACTGAGGGAAGGAAGGAAGGAATAAGCTAACGGATGAAAGGGACAATTGCCAAAGAGATGTCCACTGTCCAGAGCTTTGCTGTAATTGCCCAATTCCCCTGGAAATCTCTGGGTGCAGAATGTTCCCAGGTGTGTGTCGTACCTGTGTCGGAACCACCTGGTTGGGGTGCTTGCTAGCATTCAGATTCCTGTCTTTTTATTCATTAGAACAATAATAGCTTTCCCAGAGTCCTACCCAGGAGGCTTCCATGCACATCTCACCGGCTGGAGCGAGACCACATGCCACCCTCTGCTATGAGGGATTTGGAGAGAGAAGCAGGTGTAACTGGGCACGTTGTTGCCTTGGACAAAGGTGGGGCTCCGTGGGCATGGAAGAAGCTCAGCGGATGGGCAAGGAGCAGCACCTGCTCTGAGGAGCCCCAGGACATTCCTCATGTCCAGTTTTAGGCGGCTGCCTGCATGCCTTAGAAAGATCAGGGCTGTGGTTGCATTCCCGTGATGGACGGCGTCGGGTCCTTGTGTTTGTTGGTGTGTGGAGGTGATGCCCTGAATGGTTATGCCTTTCCATTCCTATGAAGGGCAGTGGCTGCTCCTTGGACTTTCACGGAAAGAATCTTTGACTTCTAATGTTCTGAATGCCAACCCCATGAAAGGACCACCCTCCCCGAATTCTGTGGCTTGTCAATATGATGAAGCCGCTGGGCTCCCAGGACAACGGCAGGCGGAAGTCTCTCAAAGCTGGGTGATCCCAGCCTCGCTTTTTGTTTCTTTTACGCTCCAAAGAAGAGAGGTTTTGCCCTGGCCGGGTGGCCCAGTCAGTTGGAGCATCGTCTCGTGCACCAAAAGGTTGTGGGTTTGATCACCAGTTGGGGCATGTACGAGAGGCAACCAGTCGATGTTTCTCTCTTGCATCTATCTGTGTCTGTGTGTGTCTCTCTCTCCCTAACAATTAATAAAAACATATCCTCAGGTGAGAATTAAAGAAAAGAAGAGAGCTTTCTCCTCTGGGATATCCCCCTGGGCTTGGGATCTTTCCTCTTTCCATTTTTTAGTGGAGCTCTTGCTTCACCCTGTCTGGTTGACCCCTGCTCTCGGTTAAAGTGCACCACTAATCTTTCCTCCTGGAAAAGGGATTTGGGGAAACAAATGAGGTGCATTTGGCCTAGCCGGTGTGGCTCAGTGGTTGAGCATTGACATATGAACCAGGAGGTCATGGTTTGATTCCTGGTCAGGGCATATGCCCAGGTTGCAGGCTTGATCCCCAGTAGGCGGGTGCAAGAGGCAGTTGATCAATGATTGTCTCTCATCATTGATGTTTCTGTGTCTCTTCCCCTTCCTTCCTCTCTGAAATCAATAAAAATATATTTTAAAAAAACCAAAAACAAGTGAGGTACATTGGATGGGAAGAGCCAGTGTTACTGTACACATTCATGTGCACCTCTAAACCTCTGAAGGGCCTCCTTTTCGCGTTTTCAGCTCATTTCCTCTGGTAGGCTCTAGGACAGAGCTTCAAACAGTGGGATGTGAGCAAGTTATATAGAACTGGAGGCCCGATGCACGGAATTTGTGCAAGGGGCTCGGCCCTCTCTTGCAGCCCCTCGCAGCCCCAGCTTCGTAAGGTCATCTGGACGGTTGTCTGGAAGGTATCCTGGACGGTTGTTCTGTTGTTCGCTCTAATTAGCATATTAGCTCTTTGTTATATAGGATATGCATTCCTCAGCGCTCAGGGTGGGGGCGGAGCCTGGGCCACCAGAGTGTCCCCGCCCGTCATCTGAAGTTGTGAGTGCCTCTTCCATCAACCCCAGTGTGCCTACAAATATGACCGTTTTCTGTGTCATGAGGTCAGACAGCTTGGAAAATGCCACGCTCAGCCCTGTTCCCTGGTTCTTTCTTTCTGTCCTCTTCCCTTTGGAGGTCAGATGCTGCCTCTTTCTTCTTCTTCCATCGGCTCGAGGTCTCCTGCCTTTGGCGACTGGTGAAAGGTGTTGCTAGCAGACCTGGTGCCAGGACGCTGTCCGTGGCAAGCCTGGAGTGTGTCTGACTCCGTTTTATAGCTTAACGTCCCTTTTTGTCCCCCACGTGGAGTCTTGTTATATTCTCCCTGCTCTGCTCTTCCCTCCTTCCATAAAGATTCTACTGATGGGGCTCAGCCCCTTTCCTACACATCAGCTCGGCCCCCAGGCTCTGCTGTGCCCTTCGCTCTCTTTAGTCTTGTTGTTGGCCACACTGACCGACCTGGCCAAGCCCAGAGATGCCACCGTCTTTCCACCTGCACCCTCCCCAAGTCCCCATAAGATGCAAGTGTAGAAAGTCAGCGTAACAATCTGCTGGGTGTCGTCATTCATGATAGTGTTCATTGATATTTCCCATTCATCTTTATCTTAGAACTTGTATTGGTCTTTGAGCTGAGGAAGGACAAAGAGGTTGTGATGAAGCTGAAAAGTGTTCCTTTGTTTTTTTTCAGATGAGAATTCTCCAGCCAACTTCTGGGATTCTAAAAACAGGGGTGTGACTGGGACACAGAAAGGGCAGATTGTGTGGAGGATTGAGCCCGGGCCCTATTTCATGGAACGTAAGTAACCAAGTGTGAAATAGATGTTGTTTATGCGACATCGTCTACATATGCAGGAATCTGTGGGGTCTTTTCTGAGTGCTATTTAAAATGTTTTTTGCTCTGATTTACATACACTTATACCATAGAACTCCAAACTGGAAAATGTATTATTTTAGAAAAAGCTCATTAGAGAATGTTCACATATTTTGAAAAGTGTGTGTGTATTGTATGAACATATGATTTATAAATCACGTGTGGCTATTTTAATACTTCACACATTTTTATATACCTTGCAACTACATTTGTAATTCATATTTAATTATTACTAATTTTAGAGAGCAGGAAAAACAGTTCAAGATTTAAATTTAAGAGTTTAACTTAATTTAAAATTTTTATTTGCTAACTCTGCTATTATTTTTCCCAGTGTCAGAATAACTTTTGCATTTGGGTCCAGGTTTTTACAAGTGTGGGTAAGATAGTCTGGGACTGCTATAGAGGTCTATTTACTGCTGTAGAGGTCTCTTTACTAGGAATCGAAAATTGCCTGCCGATAATTCAACCATGCCCCAGTTATCTGATGTTATATTCATTTGAACATGCAGATGTTTTTACATAGCACACGATTCACAGAAATATGTCATTCCTTTTTATTTTGGATGAAGCGGAGTATCTATACTTCCCACTAATATTATTGAAAACATAGTAAGTACATTTTTGTGGAGTAGCTAGATACTACTGTAAGCAAATGATTTACTGGTTGGTCCAGGTTAATGTCTACACATACAGAATTTTTCCTTACTGTAGACAAAATTGGCTCTAAACACTTTCCCAGTTATTTATCTCTGTATAACAATTACATTTTCCATACACAGGGTGTTTAATCCAAGAGAGTGCGGGGTTGCTATACAGGGGGGGGGTTCTTACTACACCTTAAAATATAAAGTAAGGTTTGATTGAGTAGCAACTTGATGTAGGCACATGATTAACGCACATGAAACTCCTGCAGTATAACAAGTTGTTTTGGAAGATTAGCAGCCATTATTTGAATTGCCATCAGATTATTTCTTCCACATTTTCACTGGGGGGTCAGCATTCTAGAGCTTCCTCTAATCCTATTTCTGACTCCTATGCAATGCCTTCTTTTCAGTTCAATTTCTGGCTAGATTCTCTCTTTAAATCTCAAGTGGGATATAATTTTCAGGGAAAATGGTGAGAGGGCAAAGGCAGATACATACGGCACAGCCCCAGCTGAAGTCATGGTGGATGGGGAAAGCCCGCAGGATATGTTTGCCAAAATGTGAGAGGCTGTTTCTGGGGGGTGAGGTTATGGGTGCTTTTTCCTGCCTTTTTCTACTTTACTTTCCAACCATGGCCCAGCTGGCATTGCTACCTAAGTGATCGGAAAAATAAATGATAAAAGGCTATGGGGGGAAAGGGAATGGGAACGAGCAAGCTTCCTCTCAGGGTGATTCCTCTTTTGAGAGGGTCCCAGGGTTTGAGAGGCTGACCTGGCTGAGAAATATCACCAACTGAACGTCAGGGGACAAGGTGAGGCAACCTTCGTGTTGGCTCCCAAGTGCAGAAGGCTGCGGGAGTGATCACCCCGGGTGGCGCGTGCAGATTCATACTGTGGGGTGTTCCGAGGTGAGTAACTCGGAACCCCGGGAAGAAGTCAGTATCACGTGCTGCTGTCACTTGGAACAGTATGTGTGAACAACAACCACCGCCCATGTACAGACTGTCTCAGTTTTTGTGACTGACTTTCTTTCTCCCTTTGAAAGTGGTAGAGGTTCGGGATGTCCTGGCTGATGAGGGGCTAGTAAACCTCTCTCTGAGAAGGTTTTTCTTTACCCCCTCCTGCTAGTACTTAATCTCTCTCTCTCTCTCCCCTCCCCCCTTTTCTCTCTCTAAAAAATCAAGAAAAACATATCCTCTGGTGAGATTATGAAACTTTTTTTTTTTAAATCAGGGGGTGGCTGAGTATGTTAGACAGTTTTTATATTTTTAATCTTTGATCTTGAAAACTTAACGACACCAAAAAACATTTGCTTTTTATCTTCAGACAGAAAATTTTTATCTTTAGCTCATCAGAAGTCCAGTCAAAGTAAAATTCTCCAAAAATTGACCTAAATTCATGGGAAAAACCTAGATTTGAGCACTGAGCTATTTCTGAATATAAAGATGGCTTCCGTTTGTCTTGATAAACCCCTGCAGGAGGCAGGAGGCAGGAGGCAGGAGGTAGGGCATATTATTACGTGACCTGCCTGAATGAATTTGAAGGACAAAGACTGGTTTAATTTGGGGTAGAAGACGTTGCTAGGCATTGGCGAGGAGGATTGCTTCCCTCTGCACTTGTCATCCGACTGTCAAATATTCCTCAAATGAGCTGATGCTCGCAGAAACTGGGTTGCTCATCTGGGCGGTGTGCGTTCTTGAGTTTTGAAATGTAAGAGGTTTCAAAACTTGTCTTGGCTCAGACATGCCATAATGTCTGTTTCTATAGTCTTTTATAGACTACTAGAGGTCCGGTGCATGAATTCATGCACAGGTGGGATCCAGCCGGCCTGACCTGATCGGGCCGATAAGGCGGGGCAGGCCTGGGGGAGGGGGAAGGGCTGCGGGCCATTGGCTGGCTGGCACCGCCCCCTGGTCAAACGCCCGGTTGAACTCTTGGTCGAGAGGACAATTTGCATATTAGTCTTTTATTATATAGGATGATCATTCATTCATTCATTCATTCAGACCTGCTTTCTCTCCTGCCTTCCTCCTGTCTATTTGTCCACCTATATGTGCAGAAGCCATTCTTGGGTAGATGGATCATTCCTTGCTCCCTAGTCCAGATCCCCTGTCTCCCCTGCCTGTGAGCAGGCTGGCCCTGTGAGCCGTGGGCTTCTCCCTGTTCTGATGCTCGGTCATTGCACCTGCATTGGCTTTCCCCGTCCTTGCATCTGTTTCTCGCAGGAATAGCTTTTTGTTTTCCTCTTGCAGTGAGAGGTTAAAAATGTAGCTCAAACAGAAGGCCGGGCCCCAACAGCCCTTTCCACCCTTGTGAGTTTTCTTTCCAGTTACTCTTCTCATAACGAAAATGTTCAAGGACGTTGGTCAACATGCTAATTTCTCTCTAACTCAGAGGGGCTGTATTTTAATCTTGAGTGACCGAAAGCACTGAATAATATTTGGACGGGACAGCTCTCACCTGCATGGAACATTCCCGTATTTTCGGGACAGGCATCTTTCCTGGCGTCCTGCTCCGGGACCTGGCTGGTTTGAGTCCAGGTGCCAACAGCTGTTCTGTGTTTTTCTCTCTGGGGACCTGCTGTGCGTTTGCTTTTGTGACAGGGGATCTGCGTCATCCTGTGCTTGGCCCCACCCAGGAAGCCCTGGGAAGCTGTTGGCTCTGCCCTGTTTGGGGTGATCATGTCCATCCACGGAATCTGTTTTGTTCAATTCAGAGTAAATTCATCTTAGAGGTCACTGAGACTCCAGTGCAGTGATGGCGAACCTTTTGAGCTCGGCGTGTCAGCATTTTGAAAAACCCTAACTTAATTCTGCTGCCGGGTCACATATAGAAATTTTTTTGATCTTTGCAACCAGAGTAAAACAAAGATTTATATTTTTGATATTTATTTTATATATTTAAATGCCATTTAACAAAGAAAAATCAACCAAAAAAATGAGTTCGCGTGTCATAGGTTCGCCATCACTACTGTAGTGTATCACTGGGGTTAGAGATTTGGGTTATAGCAAGGAATAAAATAGCACCTAAAATGGGTCAGCTGGCAAAGTTGGCCTGGCTACCACTATCCTACAGACAAAAATGAGCAGCCCAGCCGGTGTGGCTCAGTGGTTGAGCGTTGACCTATGAATCAGGAGGTCACAGTTAGATTCCGGGTCAGGGCACAGGCCCAGGTTGCAGGCTTGATCCCCAGTGGAGGGCGTGCAGAAGGCAGCTGATCAATGCTTCTCTCTCATCATTGATGTTTGTAGGTCTCTCTCCCTCTCCCTTCCTCTCTGAAATCAATAAAAAAATATTTTTAAAAAATGAGCAGTCACTTGTTTTGTCTTGGAGTGTGTTCCCTCGCTGACTGTGTGGAGGAGATGGCACCCTGACTGGAGAGTTCGGGGAAGGTCTTCTACAAATGCACGTCTCCGTATTGGGAAGCGAGCTGCTCGCTCCCTCCCCGTTGACTTGGTCACGGAGGTCCTGCTGCAGGCGGGTTCGGACCCGGTCTCCAGCGTCAGAGGGGGACGCTGATGCGCTCCTGCCCGCAGAACCCAAGGCTCACGCCCACACCGAGCTGCCCGGCTTTGACGGCCTGTCCATTGTGCTGAGCCGTGTTCTTGCCGAATGCATCCTGTTGGTCTTGGGAGAAAGCAGGTGGGAGGAAGTTTGCTCAGGTCTGTGCAGCTGTTACAATGCAGCCACACTCAGAGCCCGGTGTGGGTGTTCACGCCTGGCGTGTTCTGGGAGGGCCGGTGCGGATGAAGCTGGGACGCCCCCGCCGGTGGGTCCTCAAAGCCCGCAGCTCATCATTCCTGCCTCGGCCACTCCTCGCTCCCAGCCTGCTCGTCCGTTAGGTTTCCCATCCGCAGGTTTCCGTCCCAACCAGTGTGTCCTGTGAGCCTTCCTGATCCCGCGTGTCCTCGCTGGTCTCTGCCTCCAGCCTTCTCCCACCGTCCTCCCTGCCAGTGTCTGTCTCCTGGGCTTCGTCAGGCCTGTGGCTGCCACCTCCACACTCCGTCACCCGCTAGACCAGATGCCTTCCCCGGATCCGCTCGCCCTGCCCGGCGTGGGGCGGGCCTGTTTGTGATGGGTGCGGGGTGACAGTCCTCTGCTCGGCAGTGCGCGCTGCGCTTCCAGTCACCAGTGACTCATGTTTGTGATGGGAAGACTCTGTATTTTACCTCATGACGAGACTGTTCTTTTTGCATTTCATCATGGATGGAAAACGTGCAATAATTTAAATTCCTAAGAGAGGATTTTTCTTTATTTGTTGTATTTTTTCCCTTAAAACAAGTGAACCAGATACTCCGTGGAGGTCACCGGGTGCGGCCGGGAGGGTCCGTGGGAGGTGGACTTCCTTGGGAAATACGTCCAGTGGCTCCCCCTTTAGTGGTCCAGGGGACTCAGTAGCGGAGGCCGCTCCTGTAGGCAGGCCTGGCCCTGGGGCTGCCCATCAGCATCCCTGCCTGTATCGGATGACACCTGGGGAGCGAGGCATCTTGCGGTGACACTTCCGTGACTCAGGCGCACTGTGCACGGAAACATCCCAGTGCCGGTGCCATCTACCTGTGACGCGTTCTGACTTCACGATCTTTGACATTGTTACTTTCCAAAGTCAGTAACAGACGTTTGTATTGCTCTTTATCGAGTTCAGATTTTACACATATGAAATACATATATGCGACATACATGTGTAATAGATATGAACACACACATAACCTGTGGATATAGATCTCCACATACATCTGCATCTGTCCACGTGCCAGTAGTGTCTGTACCAGTGGTTACTAAATTTGATCCCTGTCTGGTAGCTGCATTTAGATCACTTGGAAATTTAAAATAATGCATGTTCCCAGGCCCTAGCACTGCATAGTCTGAGACAGTATTTTCTCATACGTGTTAACCTGCTTTCTGTGTCCATGGACAGCTGCAGCCTGTCTGCATTGTAGAGGTTCAGGATGAAGGCTTTGATACCTAAGGTCAGTTTGAGTCCTGACCCTGTCATTTCCTGCTTGACCTTCAGCACATCACACTCCATCGGCAGCCTGGGAACAGGCATTTCTGCCTCCCAAAGTGGGTGTGAGGTGAAGGGGCCCCGAGACCAGAGAGACACCTCCACGCAGGGCAGCTAGCCTCAGCCTCATCTCCACACGGTTTACTTTGCGGCACGTTGGCGCGTTATCTTCTAATACGTTTGAGGGTGTTCATACAAAATCCCGGAGGAGCATCTGTGATCAAGTGCGAGGTGGCATAACCCGTCCGTTGCCTCTGCTTGGAAAAGGAGGGACCATTCAAAGACTCAGAGGAGGGCTTTCTGAGAGGCCGTGTGGGAATGGCCTCAGCTGGCTGTTCCGTGTTTGAATGACTGTTCCATGTGTGAATGACCGTTTTTCTCCAATCCACCCGCAGCGGAGATAAAGATCTGCTTTAAGTACTACCACGGCATCAGCGGAGCCTTGCGCGCCACCACCCCCTGCATCACCGTGAGGAACCCTGCTGTGATGGTGAGTCCTGCTTGCTGCTTCCTGGGGTGGGTGGTCCCTGGGGCCTTGCTTTCTATTTCTGCACCTGCAGCTCTGGCAGATGATGGGGAACAATGAGAAGGAAACACAGGGCATGGGGGGCGGGGGCTCCGCTTTATTAAAGGGAATCACGCGCAGGCTGGCTTACCTGCATCCATCATTCTAACCAGTGGGAAACCAGGATTGGATTTATATCAGCTCTGTGTCGTCAGCTCTCCATGAAGCAGATTAGCGAGTGCTCCACTGTGGAAGGGGTTTCAGACTCCATTGGGGTCGGTAGGAAATGGTAACATTACATCTTCACATGCATTTCATTTACAGGAGCTCAGTGTGTAGAAGGGAGAACAGTCATGATTTAACGTGTGTGATTCTGCCTGCTGCTCAGTGAGCTTTCATCCCAAAGGGAGTGTGAGGTGGGGATCAAGCATGTGCTTTTCCCAGGAGGCCTCAGTGCTGAGTCTCTCTCCGGCAGAGCTGGGGTCCGGTGCCTCCAGACACAAAACGTAGTTTTGTACGACCTGGCCAGTCAGTGAGGCCAGCCTCTTCCCCAGGCCCTCAGTGGAAGAAAGAGATATTTAACTTAGATTTGGAGGACATCATTGGTTTTGTGGACCCTTGAAGGGAAAGTGTGTCCATTTCTAACCCGGTACTTCCCGGGGGATTCCTTTTCTCAATGTTATGATTTTTCACTCCGTCCACTAACCTTAGGGTCTCACCGCCTCACAAGGTGCACTCCATTGCACAAGGGCGATTGGACTTAGATAGTTTAGGGCAGTGGTCGGCAAACTCATTAGTCAACAGAGTCAAATATCAACAGCACTTCTTCAAAGTAGACTCTCCCAGGCCGAAAACCGACTTCTGCGCATGGGCCACGAAGTTTCAATCGCACTGTACGTGCTCCTGCACATGGTATTTTGTGGAAGAGCGACATTCAAGGGGCCAAAGAGCCGCATGTGGCTCGCGAGCCGCAGTTTGCCGACCACGGGTTTACGGGAATTCCGAGAGTGTAAGAGATGTAAATCATTACACTTATATCCCTCGTTCATAACATTCAGGTCATGGAAGTATAGAAGAAAAATACTGACTCCCATAATATCGAATCTTCATGACGTGTGTGTGTGTGTGTGTGTGTGTGTGTGTGTGTGAATGTATAGATGCACGCACTTTGGGAAATAGGCACGTGGCCAGGATGACTCCTTGAGATTCAGAAAGTAATCTCTGCCGATGGCAATTTGCAATTGTGCAGGCCCACCAACGCCGTATCAGCCCGTCCTTCCCTTTCTCCACTCATGCGAGCAAATACTCACTGGGTGCCAGCTAATGTCAGGCATCGCACTCACCACCAGGATGAAATTATCAGCAAAACACAGTGTTTGTTTTCACCGGTCTCGTGGGGGAGGAGAGACATCAATTAAGTTACATTATAGTTATTTGAGTCTAATGACAGTGAGCGGGAGTAAGACGGGGCTATAAGAGCACGTACTGTAGGATTTATCCTGATCAGGAAGGTGTTGGAGGGCTTCCTGAGGGAGGCGTGTTTGCAGGACAGTCTGAAGGATGAGTAGGAGCCACGTAGGTGGAGAGAGGTAGGGAAGAGCATTTTAGGTCGAGGGAACAGTATGTGCAAAATCTGCAATATCTAAGTACTGAGCTCACATAGGACACATGGTATAGAATAGGAAAGAATAACCCACATGTACTATATAAGACTTGGAAGCCCATAGGAGAATAACAGTTGTTGACTACAGCATCTGCCCTGTCACATAGTCAGCACGGGCACACGCTTTAATTAATATTCTAAAGAGAAGAATTGCAAAGCCAGAAGTGTGGTGCCGTTTGTAATAAAACCCTTTGAAAAATTAACTGTGTGTGAAATTAGGCAATCGCTTCCAAACACGATTTTTCTGAACTCAGAGTTTTTATTTATTTTTTTTAGACTTGAGCAGTTTCAACAATCAGCTATCATTGAAGGCAGCGGGAGTTCACTGCCGGGTGAACATTGATCTCATTCCATTGATCTTTGCATTGAGATTATTCTGTCAATCCTGTGGCCCGTTTGGAGATAATTAATTTGCTTCAGACAGCGTGTAGAGCACCTTAAAAGCTTCGTCGATACAGCGCTTGCGATCAGAATAGAATATTGTGGTTCCGAGGGTGACTCATAGGATTGGCGGCCCATCGTTTCCCGACCAGGCTTGAGATGGCCGGGTCTGTATCCAGAATGAGAGGCTGTGCCACGTGGGCGCCTCGTTGTGAGGGTGAGGGCTGTGTCTGTGTCACAGCGTGACGGCCGCCCGGGGCACGGCATGTGGCCTGTGTTTAGTTATTGAGACGGATAAGCTGCATCGACAGTCACAAGGCCCACTTAGAACAGTCCTGGAAGAAGTCACTGGGAGACTCCCTGGGGAAGGAAACGAGCTGCCACCCTAATCTGCTCCTTTCTCACACATCCTCCTGCGATGAGTCCAGGATACAAACCGCTGTGCCCTCTCTGCCGCTGGGGCTTTGACGTCACTGTCATTCCTTAGAGCACACAGCGATGTGTATCTCAGACGCTTGGAACAGGAAATCCTTTGGCCTCAGGGACAGGCAAAGGCACCGTCACTCACGGCCATGTATTGTTTCTGCACTGGGCTGACAGTGTTGCTTCTGGCTTTTCCTGGAATGAATCTCGGGAGTGAGTTTATTTAAAAACCTTTCTGCAAACAGCGAGGGCAGACGTGTTTATTACCGCCGATGCCCTCGTAGCTAGAGGGAATGCCTGCTCTTCCCTGGCTTTGTGGTCATCGGTGGTGACATCGAATGCTCTGGGTATTCTTTCAGATGAGCGTTTTGCCGCCACGGTAGGAAAGGACAGTGTCTATCTGTGAATTCTGTGAACATTGTTTCACATTAACCTTTTGCCGGACAGTGAATCACATTTTAAAAATGAGAATCTAAGGGCAAATTTTTTTGTTTCTGTAATATCTTATAATATTTTAAGTAGGTTTTCAGAAAACCCATGTAAAGTTTATTTTTAAAAGAATTTGAATCTTTTCAGCCTTCTTTAACTCACTTTGGGTGAGTCTCCCTTAGCAGGAAGGGTCATCGGTCTTTGGGGGTGGTACAGCACCCAGGGCCATGGGGTCCATTTGAGGGGAGGCCATGACCTATCGGGTCTGGCTGTCTCAGCTGCAGACTGTACTCCCTTGCTGCTCACCACTCCACAGTCCAGGGTTGTGTGTGGTGAAAGCAGGACGTGGTAGTGACCAGCCGTCAGTAGCTTGGCTGGTTTGCTGTTGCCCCGCCGGTCAACCTGGGGGTGATGAGTCGGAGAGGTGGCGCACAGTGTAATAAAGCATACGTACTCACCGAGAGCCAGCCCAGGGTCATCAGGGAGTTGGTTTGATGAGCAGAATGTAAAAAGATACCTGGATGGGACCCAAGGATACTGCAAATGACACAATCAGGAAGCAGCTAAGTGTCACACAAAATAGTTTTGACTACGTTACAGGAAGTGGAGAAGGAAGTAGAAATTGATATTTCAGAATTGCATGGAATTCATTTCCAGTGGTTCTCAACCTTCCCAATGCCATGACCCTTTAATACAGTTCCTCATGTTGTGGTGACCCCCAACCATAAAATTATTTTCATTGCTACTTGATAACTGTAATTTTGCTACTGTTATGAATCATCATGTAAATATCTGATATGCAGGATGTATTTTCATTGTTTGTGACCAACAGGTTGAGAATCTAAGGGCAAATTTTAGATGTTTTCCGGCTTTTCTTGGATGAGTGAAAGTTTTATTTGTTGATGGCATAAGATTTTTAAAGGAGTCTGGGGAGTGTTCCAAAGATAAAAGATGGAAGGGTGTAATATAAACTAATGTGGTTTCACTTTTCCAACCATTCAACATATATTCTGCCTTCAGCCTGTCTCTTACAGGTAAAAAGGAAAAAAAGGCTTTTTTTTTTTTTTTTTTTTTTTTTTTTTTAGAAAACTATGAAATTTTGTTTCCTAGTATGCCAGAACTTGAGCACTAATTGCACATAAATTGAGGGAAAGGCTAAATCTGCTATGTGGTCTATAAATGATTGGTTTCAATGAGATAATTTACTCGAAAGCTTTTAGGAAAAGCTTTACAGCACAGTGATTAGTACAGTAGCATTGAGAATGCCTATCACCACTAATCATAACAGCATGTGCCATCTACCTGCAGCTCAGTCATGTAGGAGCCCCCGAAGGGATGGGACATCCACGTGGCCACTCAAAAATGTTTGGCGAGAGAGCATCATTCTACATATGTACGGATGAGTCTGGTATAAATCACGTGTTTCGTTTATTCTAGGGTTTTCTAAAAAGTCTGAAGGAATTTGATGTTTGATTTTTTTTTTAACGTAAGGAATGTTTTCATATAGTAATAGCAATATAAGTACATTTACTATCTATCAACTATCTTCTTAGCAAAGAACTAAAAGGACAGAAAGTAAGTTTATTCATGTCCCAGCGAATTTAGAAGCTGCTACCAGTCTCATTTCGGGTAAAGATGAAGTTAGGTGTGATCTTTCTCTCATCTCTGAGAACCTGCATTTGTGTCTCAATTCCAAGCTTTGCAGCTTATGAGAAGGCATGTACTGCATGCATGTTTGGTATGAACATCATCACATTGGCAAACATACGTGATTCCCCAGGACGGCTGAGCAGCCTCAGACCCTGTGAAGCTTCACACGCGTGTTTTTTGTCTGCAGATGGGGGCGGAAGGAGGTGCTTCTGGAAGCCCGCATTCCCGGAAGCTCGTCAGCTTCACGCTGTCCGGTAAGGCTGCCTTTCATTGGCGCGACGTCCAGCTTGAAAGTGTGCGATTTTAAGGGCATCAATAGTCCCTTCTTCCACAGATTCTCATATGTTATAGGTGGACTAGTTAGTTATTGATCTGGGGAGGGGGGTCATACTTCTGAAATTCAAGTATATCTTTTACCAGGATAAAAATAGATCATTGATATAAACTCAGAAGTTATTTCTTCTAATGAGTTTTCTGGTGGGAAAAAGACTGTAACTGTGTATAGTTACTTAAAAAAAAAATCTGTAATGTCATGTGTTAACCACACATGAGGGCGTTGGTTATTGAAGATGATTTGTGCTTACCTCATCTAGAGAAAGGGAGATGTGGAAACGAGGCGGGGGGAAGCTGGGGGAACCCCAATGTCTGTGGAGAAATACACATAAAAATAGAAAGTGGGCAAAACAATTTGTTTTGTTTTTTTCTGGTTGCTGCAATATTTTAATTGCTTGTTTGTGTATCATAAAACGAAAGACCTGGTTGTGAGTGGGAATTCATTTGTGGTTTACAAGGTTTATTTCATTGAAACTAGCAATTTAAAAAAGCGTAGAAAAAAAAATCAGTTTACCACCAAAGGGAAATATTTTTTTCATAGAACATCAGTTTACACAAACTGAAAAACATTCACACAAGAAAATAAAAACACCTCTGTATGTGTATGTGGGTTTCATGGTCACATGTTACTTCATATGTAGGGGACTCAAAAAGTTTGAAAGCCTTTGATTTTTAAAAAGTTAATGGGCAGTCATAAAGTCAAGAATTTACTAAGACAGTCAGTATTTGAAATGGACTTTCAAAGTCGATGACTGTGCTACAATACATCCGAAATGAAGTCTGACACGTCTGTCACTTCAGATGCTTTGTTTTCATTTTCCACCTGTGTTGTGCTTCTCAAATTTAAATTCAGTTTACTTTCTTAGCTGCAAAAAAAATTTGCATGAAAATATGTGTTCTCACAAGTGAGAGTCAGCAGGCCGATCGTGAAAACAGATGTGGCAGTGGTGCACCCTTGTCGCATCTGACTGAAGGGCGCATGGAAGTCGCTGAAGGGCGCACCGAAGTCGCTGATGGCTGCCATGGCCTGCGGGGACCTGTCTGTCCTAGCAGAGAAGGCACTTCCTGGGAAAGCTTGCTTGGCTTTGTTTCCTGGCGGGTCTCGGCGGTGGTGAAGTGATGACTGATGGCTCAGATGTGGCCAGTGTGTATGTTTTGGTTGGAACCCTCAGCGTTGACACATGCCTAGGTTTTCAGCAGGGCACGTAGGCGCACCACTGCCTGTGACACTCTCCTGTCCCTTCATCTGTCTGTCTCTTGAGAACATGGCAGGTGGCGACTGTACCTTAGACCTCACAGTCCCCAGGGGCTGCAGGTGCACAAGTCCTTTCCTTATCGGTGGGGAGCACGAGCCGGCCTGTGTGGCTCAGGACATTTAGGTTGACCACACCGTGGTTTTCTTATTGTAGAAGCATTGCCCTGTGCTTCCAAGTGATCAATATCATTCTGAATAGGATACGCACAGCCCAGGTGGCGTGGCTCAGTGGTTGAGCGTCGACCTATGAATCAGGAGGTCACAGTTCGATTCCTGGTCAAGGACACATGCCCGGGTTTCAGGCTCGATCTCCAGCAGGGGGCGCGCAGAAGGCAGCTGATCGATTCTCTCTAATCATTGATGTTTCTATCTCTCCTTCTCCCTTCCTTTCTGAAATCAATAAAAATATTTTAAAAACGATACACACATATTGATTTTGACTGCAGAGGGGTGCTAATTAACTCACTACTGGAGAATGAGCATCTAGAACAGTGGTTCTCAACCTGTGGGTCGAGACCCCTTTGGCGGTCGAACGACCCTTTCACAGGGGTCGCCTAAGACCATCCTGCATATCAGATATTTACATTATGATTCATAACAGTAGCAACATTACAGTTATGAAGTAGTAACGAAAATAATTTTATGGTTGGGTCACAACATGAGGAACTGTATTTAAAGGGCCAGAAGGTTAAGAACCACTTATCTAGAACATGAAAATCCCAGGACATTTTCCTAAAAAGTAGGGGTACAGCCAGATGTTTCTTCTTTAAACACAACTTCTTCTAATGTCTCACCTCAATACACGTGGCGGCTGGCTAACATTATGTCCTATTTCCTACCATGTGGTCAGATATGTGCAGGTGGTAGACAGAAGTGGCTAATACGATAGAATATGAAAACAAGTCTCTAATTCTGAACAAATTAATCTGGTTGTAGCATATTGACAGTGAGTGACAACATATATCCAAGAGCATTTGAGCCCTGTGGAGTGGCTGCCTGCAAACGCTCTACTCTTGATTATCTACGGATAAGTAGGGATACAAATAATTTAACTCCACAGCAGAAAACAAAAACTGTGTTTTCCCTGGCTGAGTTGGTTGGGGCATCATCGCATACCCAAAAAGGTCGTGGGTTTGATTCCCAGTCAGGGCACATACCCAGGTTGCGGGTTTGATCCCCGGACAGTGCATGTGTGGGAGACAACCAATTGATGTTTCTCTTTCTCGCTCTCTCTCTCTCTCTCTCTTTCCTCTCTTTTTTCCCTCTCTATTAACAAAAAAAACCCAAAACAAAACAATAAAGAAACACCAACATGCCAAAAACAAAACAACTGTGTTTTGATTAATATCTTAAACCTCTTCTCCAAATAAAGCTGTAAACCAGGATATCTACCATGTCATACCTTTGTGACTTTGAGTCCTTCATTGGTCTATTAGGTGATGCAGATGTTTATGAGCAATAGGGGATATAAAAGGCAAAAGGGAGAAAAAAGAGCAGAGATGTGACGGGTGAAGGAACCTGGGTAATCAGACCACACATAACTGGTAGTTGGTTGTATTTCTTTCTTTTTTTTAAATATATTTTATTGATTTTTTACAGAGAGGAAGGGAGAGGGATAGAGAGTTAGAAACATCGATGAGAGAGGAACATCGATCAGCTGCCTCCTGCACATCTCCTACTGGGGATGTGCCCGCAACCCAGGTACATGCCCTTGACCGGAATCGAACCTGGGACCTTTCAGTCCGCAGGCCGACGCTCTATCCACTGAGCCAAAGTGGTTTCGGCGGTTGTATTTCTTAATGAAGGTTTCTTTGTACAATGTCCCCGGTGGAAAACTGGTATGAGGGTTAACAGTGACTTCTTTCATCACAGCGGCTTCATCTTCTGGGGAAATTCTCTGTGTTCAAAGGAATGTTTTGCATAAAAGATTTATTAGCTCTGTCAGACTGTGTGGCAGCCATTTCTGTACATGTTATTCCTCATTTATTGCAAAGAAGTCGATTTACTATCTAAAGAATGTCATTTTTTCTGTCTCTGGGTCTGAGGCGAACATAAACAAGAAAGGTAAGAAGATAAGTCTGTAAATTGCACTTTCTCTCTCAAGGCTGGCTATTTTATGCCAAAGTAAGCCCAGTAAAGACACGTTATTAAATGGGTAATGAAGTGCAGGCACCCTGGGGAGGGCCAGGGATGGGAGCGGTCAGGCTCCCGAGGGGACAGCAGTGTCGCTCCCGCCGGTTTCAGGTCAGTGATCTCACTGTTTCCTGCATGTCCTGTTGGTTGAATGTTTCAATCTTTGCCAACATATTAAAATAAGTTTTTCTTTTGTGTATATTTTTTAAATTATTTTTTGGAGAGGAAGGGAGAGGGAGAGAGAGCTAGAAGCATCAATGATGAGAGAGAATCATTCATTGGCTGCCTCTTGCATGCCCCACCCTGGGGATTGAGCCTGAAACCCAGGTACGTGCCCTTGACCAGGAATCAAACCTAGGACCCTTCGGTCCACAGGCCGACGCTCTAGTCCAGCCGTGGGCAAACTACGGCCCTCTTTGAAATGAATAAAACTATTGAAAAAAAAAGACTGTACCCTTTAATGTAATGATGTTTACTTTGAATTTATATTAGTTCACACAAACACTCCATCCATGCTTTTGTTCCGGCCTCCGGTCCAGTTTAAGAATCCACTGTGGCCCTCGAGTCAAAAAGTTTGCCCACCCCTTCTCTAGTCACTAGGCCAAACCGGCGAGGGCTTTGCCAACATATTAAACTGCCTCCCTCTACTGCCAGTTGTGTGTCATCAGACTCTCCCGGTCTGTTTTCATGGCACAGACGTCTAGACCCCAAGTTCCTGCTGGTAGATGAGGGCATGAGCTTCCAGTAGAGAGCAGTCCCCAGAGAGTAGGGTTCTCTGGGCAGTCCCCGGCCAGTTCTGTCCTTCGAAGAAAGACTTTGTGTTTCAGAAGTGGGATTGAGTAGGATGACCGTGGAGACAATTTAGGGTCATTGGAGGTTCATCAGCCACCTGCAGGTTTCTATCTGCACCAGTGGGCGGGGCCTCCTAGCCTAAGCATCACTGCCTGAGGCGACCTGGAAACAGTCCGTTCTTCCAGACACTTAAAGATCCCTCGGTTCTCAGGCCGACCCTAGTCACACAGATACTCTCAGAAAGGTGTAGGGGGCCCAGGGAAGCAGCTTCGTTTCCTGACGTGTGTGAATCCCTAAGCCTGGCCTTAAAAAAAAAAGTGTCATTCTCTTCACGAACCAGACTTTAGCCAGAACTTTTAGCAGCTCGCATAGTGAAATCACAGCTGCTGCAGAAGATGAGACATGGGACATTCGTTCAATCTTTAGGTGACTTTAGGCTATTGAGGAAGTAACCTCACAGTTATTTAATCCAGTAGGTAGCATTCAGCTATCAGAAATATTTCTGGTCTCCCTGCTTCCCTAGCATTCATGGCATTTGTGGAAGATATGCGACATGATGAATGTGTGCAACTGAATGTGTGCTCTGCAGTGTCCGCCCCAGTTAAACATCGGTCAGTGCATTTCCCATATGTGTGTCGAAGATTCATGTTTCTCTCATGAAGGGACCTATTGGTGTTTAGGTTTTTTTAAATAAACAGTTTACTGAGGATTTCTCTCAAGACATTGTTGCCAACCCACATACAGTTAGACTCTAGGTGTGTGAGGTGCGGGTAAAGTGTGGGCTCACTTTTGCAGCCTGCTAGGAGGCCTCTCTGCTGGCATGAGTCACGACCCGCCTGAACTCACTTACCTACGCGGTCGCAGTTTGAATAACTGTGCTGTCGTTTCACCAGATCGTTTCTGTGTAGCGCTTCCTGCCTGATTATTTAAGAACAGTTGTCATTGAGCCGCTTGTCCTTCTGTCTCTTTTCCTCTGCCCTTCTCTTCCCTTCCTCCCCCCTCTCCTTCTCTTTCTTTAAAGATCTCAGAGCTGTCGGGCTAAAGAAAGGGATGTTCTTCAACCCGGACCCTTACCTGAAGATGTCCATCCGGCCGGGGAAGAAGAGCAGCTTCCCCACCTGTGCCCACCACGGGCAGGAGCGGAGGTCCACCATCATCAGCAACACCACCAACCCCATTTGGCACCGAGAGGTGAGGTGGTCCCCAGGGTCTGAGACGTGACGGAGGAGGAGGTGGCCAACTCCAGCCCTTTCCTCCGGACTCTGTGCAGCACTGAGCTGTGTACTGTGTGAGCAGGAGGTGTCTAGGGGGCCTGTTGGAAAGAGGGCCCAGTGAGAATGAGATATTCCCTCTAGTCGGGGCTGGTCTAGGATAAGGCAAGGGAAGCACCTCTGGTGCACAATTTACGGTAAAGGATGCCAAAAGACTCAAAAATCAAAAGAAATACTTTAATGCAGTGTGTGTGTGTGTGTGTGTGTGTGTGTGTAGCTTTTGAAAATATATTCTTACTGATTTCAGAGAGGAAGGGACAAGGGAGAGAGAAATAGAAACATCGGTGATGAGAGAGAATCTTTGATCGGCTGCCTCCTGCAGACCCCACATTGGGGATCGAGTCCACAGCTCGGACATGTGCCCTGACTGGGAATCAAACTGCGACTTCCTGGTTCATGGGTCGACGCTCACTGCCACGCTAGCTGGGCTGCAATATATTTTTTAAAAAGTCAAAATCAATGCAAACAAATGATGAGCACAAAGTGTCAACATGTGGAGACAGGATAGGCCCAGCAGCATTGTCTAGCAGTTATGTTGGACCTTGAGGCAGAAGGAGAAATCAGGGAGATTGATGGTTTTTATTTAAAACGTTGGTGTTTTGTTCTAGCATATATTCAGTGCAAATTAAAGGAGTTTCCCCGCCTGCAGGCTTTGGCGAATGTGTCTGGGATTTCTTGATCTTGGGAAATTCAATGCGCTATTCAGAGAGTGAAGCCAGATTGTGTTGGGGGTCCTTAGGCCCCCTCCCAACTCCCTTATGTTTCCAGTCGGCTCTGTGCCGCGTGTCAGGGCGGCCCGGCGAGGGCCTCTCCTTAGAACTACAGAAAACTCCGAGAACGAACAGAGACCCCGTTTCTCCTCGAGTGAGGACAGCCGTTTCTTTGGGATCAAGACATTTCCAGTACTAGATAGTGTTTCTGGGTAAACCTTTGTTGGCATAGGAATCACACCGATAATTAAAACATTCCCTAACTGTTTATGGACAACCATGTTCTGATAATGTTGTGGAAGTATTTCATTGGAGAGGGAGATAACTCAGGGGACCTATAACCAAGTGGAGAAAAGATATGGCTCTTAGGAGTTCTTAGGCTGTTTAAACAGATAAAAGCATGTTTTCTTATTCCTGGTTTTAAAAACAAGTACTTACTATCTCCAAAATAGTAAATAACTTGTAAAGGCGGACCACCGAATTTAAACACGTTAGAAACCTAGAAAACATAAAATTTATCTCAACACGAGCGCTAGCAGGCACAGAGTGCAATAATTAGCAATCACTTTATTTTCCTTACATTTGATATTGACAAAGTTCTTACGGACGGGGCCAGTGCAAGCCTGAGGAGGGGGGTGTACTTGACCAAGGAAACCAGGGTATTCTGTAGATGTTTCTACTTTAGTAGGGGTATTTGAACCCATATTGGGCAACTTCTACATAACATGGGATCAGGAATGAAAATTGCTGTTAACCAAATACATCGGTTCATTCTAAACCAGTGATGGCGAGCCTATGACATGCGTGTCAGAGGTGACAAGCAAACTCATTTTTTTGGTTGATTTTTCTTTGTTAATCAGAAAATTTCTATATGTGACATGGCACCAGAGTTAAGTTAGGGTTTTCCAAAATGCTGACATGCCGAGCTCAAAAGGTTCGCCATCACTGTTCTAAACCATCCTATACCAGCATGTTAAATTTCAAAGAATTAAGATACAATAAATATATGAATACTAAAATTGTATTGTGCATAATTTGATATTTGGTAACATCTCCTAAAACTGTTGAAGCAGGAAAGGATGTGGTAAGGGAAGGGGCTCCCTTTGTCATACAGATCCCTAGCTTGTTGGGTTTGTTTTTTTTTAAAATATATTTTTATTGATTTAAGAGAGGAAGGGAAAGGGATAGAGAGACAGAAACATCAATGATGAGAGAATCATCGATCGGCTGCCTCCTGCACGCCCCCCACTGGGGACCAAGCCTGCAACCCAGGCATGTGCCCTGACCTGGAATCGAACTGTGACCTCCCGGTTCATAGGTTGACACTCAACCACTGAGCCACTCCAGCTGGGCAGCTGTTGGTTTTGAATCATTGTGCATGTTAATGAGTCTGAGTGAATAAAAGATTGACAACAGCTGTAGCTCTTTCTAGCAATGTGGACTCTGTACGTCATTAAGATTGAAAAGCGATGACATTTTCTATCATAATTAATGATGTAATTTCCTGTTTGTCTTTTTCTGAATCGGCCTGTTATCTGTTTTTATTTTCAGAAATACTCCTTTTTTGCACTTCTTACCGATGTCTTAGAAATTGAAATTAAAGACAAATTTGCCAAGAGCCGTCCTATCATCAAGCGTTTCCTGGGGAAGCTGACCATCCCCGTGCAGCGGCTGCTGGAGCGCCAGGCCATCGGGTAACCAGCACCCCCCCCAACGCCTCCGGGTGGGCCTTTGGGGGGGGGGTGCACAGAAGCAGCTGAAATGATGCTTTCCTTTCCAGCCCTAGGCCTTTGCTCACTGATAAGAAGTGATAACACATCTCTTTTAAAAGTGGGAATGCTCCTACGTGAACACGTGCAGGGCGAAGCACTTTGATTTAGTGATGCACCATTTGGGGGTGTCTGTCTTTTCCAAGGTGGCCTGCCGCGGGCATTTCTGCACTACATCTGTGCTCAGCTGGGTGGAGTCTTTTGGAATCTCGCTCTAAAGGCCTCTCCCCAAGTCAGGATCCTGGTGTCGAGTTGACACCTCCCTGTCCGGGTTGATCCCATCCGGGGAACTGGTTGACGGTGGGACTCCTAGACATATACATTCACCCAGGCAGCTGTCACTTCCGTTTGCTGTCTGTGAGCCTTCTGTAAGTGTGAATAACGTAGGTAAGAAATCATAACATGCCTCCACCCCTTGTCACAAATGGCCTGTCGATGTGAACACGGTGAGGACCAGCAGGTGCGGTGACACTGGCGCCTGAAGCGGCACTCGGACCTTGGTCATTGTAAGAGAACGTGCTGAACATGTGGCGGTTGCAGTAGTCGTAGCAGTAGCCGCAGCAGTAGTAAGAGGAGTTATAGTAGTAAGAGGAGTTAATAGTAGTAAGAGTAGTAATAGCAGTAAGAATAGTAATAGTAGTGAGAGGAGTAAGAGCAGCAAGAGTAGGGACAGCGGCCATGTCAGTGTTGGCAGCATTAGTGGTTGTGCTGTCCCAGCAGAACTCGTCCCAGCAGAACTAGTGAACAAAAGAGATGCCGAGACTTGCTCTGTGGCAGGAGTTGAGCAGGTGACACGCATTAGCTCATGGCATCCGCTCAACAGCTCTGGGAGGTGAGGAATGGGATCATACCCATTTCAGAGATGAGGAGGGAGAGGCTCACCGGCAGGTGGCGGAGCGGGGAGCTGAGTGCGGGTCAGTCTACAGCCCCATGAGGACCGCAGGAGCCTCCGATGGTCCAGCGGCCTGAGGGAGGCGGGCACCGTGTCCCCCTGCAGCTGACTCACGGGGCTGGCACCACCGCTTCCCTGGGCGTTGTCTTTCTCTTCTGACGAATAAGGCGTTTAGGCCAGGTCATCTCTAAGACGCCGTAGAAATCAGAAACTAAGAGATTGCAATGGATTCTAGTTCTCTGGCCCTCAGAGGAGATGGAGTTTGGGGTTGAGCCAGCCCACAGGAAGTATAAATCACACTGAAATTCTAGCAGCTAGTTTATCAGATACAAGCTGGGAGATGCGCTATTTTTTTTAAAAAATTTGTTATTTTTAAGGATAACATTGATTGCTGCTAGTGGAGATAATGTACTTTGGGAAGTGTTTAAAATTATTTTTAGGGTTTATAGAAAGTGAGCGATTATAAAGCGTGAGAATAACTATGGGAAATGTAGCTACCATTTAATTTATATAATTATATAATTTACATAATAAAAGGTGTAATTAACAAATGAGACTCTACTTATGGCAGAAGTGTTCGCTGACATATGTCAGTCAGAACGATCAAGGAAAGATAAAAACTTGTCAGTGTGTGAAACTTGTTGGCTTGCCGGCTTTTCATTTAGTCTTCTTCTTTTTTTTTTTTTTGATTGATTTCAGCGGCTCGAGCCCGCAACCTGGGCATGTGCCCTGACTGGGAATCAAACCATGACCTCCTGGTTCACAGGTCGACGCTCAGTCACTGAGCCACACAGTTGGGCTCATTTAGTCTTTGGAAGATCATGGAGTCCACGTGTGCCAGCAGGAGGCCCAGCATGAATGGACAGCAGAGCAGAATTACGAAATATTTCTGTACACGAACAGTGAGAGCATTGCCTGATGCGGAGGCCCAGGGATTGGCTTCATTAAGGAAGAATGGCATGGACCACAGATTATAGGCCAGATGTTAGCTTCGAAATACATGTTTCTGATCGGATGGTTGCTTCCCATCCAGTAATCGCGACTTGTTGAAAAATGCCGGGTCTCCATTACCCTGTGTGGGAGGCCGAGACGGTCGGACACAGTGGGGGCGCACAGGGGCGGTGCAGGGTGAGCTGGGGCTCCTCGCGATTCACCTGCTTTGGGGGCCTTTGCGTGAAGCCGGCCGTTTTCAGGGAGGGCGGGCCTGCCTCTGTCCAGGCGCGTCACGTCCAGGCCGCGTCATTGCTGCGATGCCATCGGTGAGGAACGCTCCGGGCAGGTAGTGAGAGCTCCTGGGCACTTGTTCCCTATAATTAGAGCGCATGCTAGTGTCTCATACACCGTTCACAGCAATGTGTCCCCGCCAGAGGCAGGATGAGTCAGCTGGGACGTGGTGAGAGCAGCGCCGGGCTTCCGTGTTAGGTGAATCCCTGTTCTGACCCTGGCTCTGTTCCTCCCTCGTGTCTGGCCGGGGGCAGGTCGCTTCTCCTCCCTGTGCCGTCGCCTCTAGCCAACAGGGCCTCCCCCAGAGCATGCTGGGAGGAGTAAAGAGCAGAAGCAGGCAGAGCCCCCAGGGAGTGTGAGTGACACACAGGGAGACTCAGTTTGGGGAAAGAAAGCAGTTTAGAAGCACCAGTCCAGACAAGAAAAATCCTGGCCACGTTTCTAGGGAAGAAAAAGAGAAAGGTAAAGGTATAGTATTGTTTTATGAGATTCTTGCTATGGAGCCGGAGAACTTCAGGGGAGCTGGGCTGGGATTGCCAGTTAATTCGCAGGTGCTCCCTTACACAGATAGCAGCCCCTTAGCACTGTGCTGAGGAGGCCAGGAGCGCAGACAGTGATGCAGATGAACCCTAAAAGGCCTGCTGGGGCTCTGCGCTGCGCTGCCAGCGGGGAGAGGCGCCGTGTGTCCTCCTGCAGCTGCCAGCAGAGGGCAGTGTGAGAGCGGAGATGGAGTGATCGGGGACCGGCCGTGGTTACTTTCCTTATTAAATGTAGGTCAGACGCGGAGTGAAAGTGGCTTGCATACCAAGAAATGATGTAATTGCAGTTGACGTTGATAAATAGACAGGGAATTGAAAAGTCAGTTCCATCCCAGAGGAGGCTGGGAGCCTGAGCCAGGAGCCGAGGTGGGGCAGAACCTGGGCCTGCCCACATGCGGTCCCCTCGGCACGCCTGCCAGGGCAGCAGCGAGACGTACCCCAGGGGCGCATCCAGCTTCTCCAGCTGCCCCATCCCCGTCGGCGAGGGCCAGCTCCCCGTACTGTGCAGGTGGACGGGGAGGGTCAGCGCCCGGCCCTCACTTGGCGGGAGCAGCTATCAGGGCGTGGCTGCCACCTCCTGTCCCCCGGCTTCCATTCTTCAGAACACGGTGCCCCCCAGGACCGCGTGCGTGTGAGAGCCCTGGCCTGCGGGTCCTTCCAGAACCAGCTTTCTGACGTGCTCAGTGCCAAGGAGCCAGGCCCACTGTGCCTGCACCTGAGCCCAGAAATCCCTTCATTTCAGGCCTTTCACAGCTCCTCCGTGATTCTCAAAGTGTCCTCTCCCTGGGCACCCTTCACAGTGAGAGCGCGAATCAGTAGACTTAAAAACACACACACGCTGTATTGCATTTTCTGCTTTTACTCATAATTTTCCTTCTGACAAGATTTCCTCTTTTTTTTAAAATGTATTTTTATTGATTTCAGAGAGGAAGGGACAGGGAGAGAGAGATAGACACATCAGTGATGAGAATCATTGATCAGCTGCCTCCTGCACGCCCCACAGTGGGGATCGAGCACACAATCGGACATGTGCCCTGACCGGGAATCAACCATGACCTCCTGGTTCATAGGTCAGTGCTCAACCACTGGGCCATGCCAGTTGGGCTGACCAGATTTCCTTTTATCTAAGTATTCACTTGTTCGAGTGAATAGTATTGCACTGGACTCAAACGTGCCTTCGAGCCTTTTATTTTCTTGCTAGGCCTGATGCACGAAATTTGTGCAATGGGCTCGGCCCTCGCAGCCCCAGCTGCCTCATCTGGAAGGTCGTCTAGATGGTCGTTCTGCTGTTCGGTCTAATTAGCTCTTCATTATATAGGATGAGTCTGTAAGTGTTAAGAGAAGTACATGGGATTCGGGGTGGGGTGGGGGGTTGTGGGAAGAAGATGAAGGCTGGCGCCAGTGTAGGACGAAAACCCTTTCTCCTCTGCAGCGACCAGATGCTGAGCTACAACCTCGGCAGAAGGCTGCCCGCCGACCACGTGAGCGGGTACCTCCAGTTTAAAGTGGAGGTGACGTCCTCCCTGCATGAAGGTGAGATGCCGGGATAAGTCCGTCCCTGTGGGAAAACGCGTTGCGTCTTCGTTGTCAGTTTGCATGTGCATAGCATCAAATGGGTGTCCTGTTCTGAAAACAAAAACGGCGACCCAGTGATGACCTGGAGAAGGTCACGCAGCGCCGAAGAGCCTGCTTATCAGAAACGTCTCTCAGGTGCATACGCCTACATGTGGGTGCGGGCGGGCGCCTGTGCGCAGTAGTGAACGTGTGCACCTCATGCGTCAGAGTGACCGGCAACAGGCCCGTTCCTGGTGAGGCGTGAGTCTTAGCGAGTCGGCGATGCTGGGAAGAGGGCTCAGGGGGAGGACTGCATCCTTTGAGCTGATGGTTGACGAAGGGATAGGACATGAAAAGTTAATTTGCGAGAGGGCTTGGTTTTGACGAACGCTGCTTTCTCCCTCAGATGCCTCCCCGGAAGCCGTGGGCACGATGCTCGGGGTCGGGTCTGTGAACGGAGACCTGGGCAGCCCTTCGGACGAGGAGGAGATGGCTGGGACCCACCCCGATGGCCCGGCCTGCTCCAACGGGCCCATGTCCGAGGAGAGTGCCGAGGGGACTCCCAAGCACTCCTGCAGGACTAGCTCCACCCTGGACATGGACGGGGAGGATCTGACCTCCATGTCCTCAAGGAACTCGCCGCCCCGCGGACCCCAGGACTCACTCAACGATTACCTGGATGCCGTGGAACACCACGGCCCTGCCAGGCCGGGCCCCGCGCCCTGCGCCGAGCGGCCCAGGGGGGCCTCTCCGAAGCTGAGGAGCAGCTTCCCCACCGACACGAGGCTCAGTGCCATGCTCCACATCGACTCCGACGAGGAGGACCACGAGCTGCAGCCCGGCCTGGGCTCCCCGTCGTCCCTAGAGGACGAGGGGGGCCTGATCATGTTCAGCGGGCCGTCGAGGACTGACGACGGGAGCCTGTCCTCTCAGACAAAGCAGGAAGACGCCCCACTGGAGACCGAGGACGCCCCCACGCACGATGCCGCTTCCTTAGAGGGGAAGCCGGAGGGTCTCCCCGAGGAGCTGGCCGAGGACTCCTCCCCAGCAGGCCCCGCCCCGGGGGACAGCGAAGAGGGTCCGGAGTCTCCAGCCGGTGCCGACCAGGACCAGGACCAGGACGGCACTGAGCCCTGTGGCTCCCAAGAGGTGGACCCGCCCACGAGTGGGGCAGACACGGGCACCCCGGACACGTCGGGAGGGAGCCGGAGGGCCACCAGTGAGACCGAGTCCCTTGACCAGGGCTCGGAGCCCTCCCAGGTGTCCTCCGAGACGGAACCCAGCGACCCCGCCCGGACCGAGAGCGTGAGCGAGGCCAGCACCAGGCCCGAGGGCGAGAGCGACCTGGACGGTGCGGACAGCTCCTGCAACGAGAGCGTCACCACGCAGCTGTCCTCGGTGGAGACGCGCTGCTCCTCTCTCGAGAGTGCCCGGTTCCCCGAGACCCCGGCCTTCTCTTCCCAGGAGGAGGAGGAGGACAGGGCCTGTGCGGGGGAGGCCCCCAGCAGCAGCCCTGCCCGGGGGGCTCAGGAGGCCACGTGTGCCCCTGGGTCCCTGCCGGCGGTGCACATGCCCAGCGCCGAGGAGGAGGGGCCCGGGGCAGAGGCGGCCACCTTCCCCCACCAGGACGAGGGCGGGGAGGTCTGGCAGCGGAGGGGCAGCCTCGAGGGAGCGGCGGCCGCTGTGGAGAGCCAGCCCCAGGAGGAGGGCGATGCCGGCGATGCCCAGGCGGCTGGTGAAGGGGCCGCCGCCCAGGAGGAGGGCGCCACTGGAGGTAGGAGGTGGGGGACAGCGTGGCGCTTGGCCCAAGCAGCCTGCCCAAAGAGGCGTCTGATGGTTTTGTCCCTGAATGCAAGTTATGCTGCAGGCTGACTGTGGCCTGAATGCTTCACCCCGGGCCTCAGTGGTTAGCGTTAATATTTTTCAGTGGACCTTTTATGCTGAGATAAGAGGCCTGTCAAAAAAGTCTTGAGATTTAGATGATGGATCTTGAGGCTCCGCATCAGGAATACGTTATGGGGACCTGCTCTCCCCAGGAGGATGGCCCATGGGGGCGGGTGCTGAGGGCGCCCCGTCCACACAGGACAGACCTAGATGCCTGAGGGCAGGTGCGTAGGTGTGAACTGCACAGGCACACACATGCGCAGCAACAAGGCCCTTGTCTGGGCAGCATAAGAGCAAAACCAAGCGTCACAATGCATCTCTGGTAGGGCCGGAGTTTGTAGATACAAAACCACGCAGGCCAGCAGCTTCAAGGTCAGTGTGACCCGCAGGGGTTTTCAGGGACCCGAAGGTTCACCTGCTCCTGTGAGATTTTCAAGGGAGAAAGGAGTGTGGGCCTGGCATCAGGTGTAACGTCTTTGCCGTGTCTCTTGAGTGTCTTGGGGTGCAAATGCACACATAAAAATTGTATTGTGTGTCAACGAATGTGGCTCAATAGGATGATTCCTTAAAAAATGTTCCATTATAGGTGCGCCAGCAAATCAAAGGACAATTTCATCGGCCTCCATAGCACAGACTCAGAACTGGGAAGGGTTTTCTTATTCTGAAATTCATTTTTTAAAATATATTTTTATTGATTTGAGAGAAAGAGGAAGGGAGAAGGAGAAAGAGAAACATTGACGAGAAACAATCATCAATGGGCTGCCTCCTGCACGCCCCTACTGGGGATCAAGCCCACAACTTGGGCATGTGCCCTGACAGGGAATCGAACTGTGACCTCTCAGTTCATGGGCCGACACAACCACGGAGCCACACCGTCCGGGCTGTAATTTATTTTCCTAGTTAAAGTATGCCCCTCCTTTTCTTCCTCCTCCTTCTGTTGTTTTGTTTCCTTCATTACCTTGTGGCCATATGTGTGGAAGGTGACCCTGGTGACCCTAAAGCATTAGTGCATGACCAGGATAGGGGTTGGGGTGG